AATGAAATCACCATTCATCTATTTGCCCAAGTTGAAAAGTTCACTGTCATCTTTGGGTTATTTTCTTGTCTCCTCAATTAGCAAGGATTTCCGATTTTAGTCTCAGCAGTGTCTCTGGAATCTATTTTCTGTCTGTTTGCACTGACACTGCCGCAGTCCAAGCCATTCAGCTCAAAGGTGTTTCACACCTGCCTTCTCTGTCTTACTGTCTCTAACTCCTCTCCTCTCTCGTCCAGTGATTGCCGTTCACTGACCTGGGACCAGCTGGATCAGTTCTCTAATAAGTTTTTTGCTTTTGCTTGTTCACTTGATTATAGGTCTCTAGGTCCTAAAAATGGGGGGGGGGGGAAGCATTCAGATTCTATGGGGTGGGTATGGGACCTGTGAATTTGAATTTTTATGAATCTCCTTAGATGAATCCATTGATAAGGTAGGTTTGGTATAACTGCTTCTTTATTTCACATTTTTTATCACCATCACCAGCATCATCTTTCAGATCCCTCTGAGTCTTATTGTGTTACTTTGACGATCATAATGCAGTGATGCTTTTCTGGGCCAACCGGCATCTGTCACTTGCACACCTTCCCAGACTCAGCTCGCTCTTTTCTCACTGCCGTGACCCTAGGTTGCTGCTACAATATATAATACAGTGGTCTTTGTAGGGAGCGTTGCTTCCTTTTTCACAATTTCATGCCTTTGGAAGACCAAAAAGCCCAGTTTGTTGTTTTCATTCATCTTTTCCTTTTAAAAAATCTTATATTTCCTTAAAGGCCTTGCTAAGATACCACCGCCTTCATGAAGACTTTGCAGACAAAATAAGTTAGTGATAGTTTCTCCTGTGAGTCCCCACAGCACACACCTTATAGCCCTTAGCATAGTTGGGTTCAAATTACTATGCATTGAAAATTGTCTCCTTTTTTAGGTACTGATGTTCTCTTTGCTTAATGGTGGTTGTATGTCTATGTAGGGGACAAGAGTGGAGTAGGAGGGAGGATCATGGAAGGAGAGACAATTGGGAGGGTAGAAAGAGTTAAGGTCTAGTCAAGTCTGTGTAGTGAGTTTTTCACAAAACTGGACTTATTTAGTGATTTCTCTTTATTAGGATTTTCTCTTCTTCCTATTTGCTAGTTCTCAAAAAAATATAGTGATGTTAGATAGTAGCATAGTGTTCAGATGTCTTTACCAGAAAAAAATTTAGAAGTTGGAAACACTGATGTTGCTCCCTAAATTAAAAAACAAATCATTGGTCTATGAAATTGGAAACTCTTGGGACTGCTGTTGCCTTGGTTACTGAGAGAGAGCCTAGAAACAATGACATCTCAGTAGCAAGAGCACACCTAGTGCCTAGATCTTGTTTCTAATATTATTCTCTCCAAAATACATGGTAAAAACGTGGTTGAGTTGGGAGGGACCAGGGCTCCTTGGAGGAAGGGCTGATTCTAGAACCACAGCATGAAATATGCAAGATGAGACGAGCTTGGATACTACATCCTGTAGTGCTAGAAAGTAAGGAGATATAAAAACACAAGAATGGGGGTATGTCAAAGGAGAAAACTAAAAGAGCTCCCGGTGGTAACCACCGGAAAAAACTGAGCAACGGCATAAATAAAATAGTATCGGATTATAATTTAAAGTAGAAAATATTCTTGAGTCCATACTAATATAAATAAATGATTGAATGAATAAATTAATGATGAAGAATAGATGAATCTCCTGTGTAGGAAAATTCCAAAGAACTTATGTCGATACTCCATCTTTCAGGAAGCAGAGCATAACTCCACTCTATTTGAGTATGGGTTGTGCATAATGACTTCTTTCCAAAGAATAAAGCATAAAAAGAATAGCTTTATAGTGGATAAACTTGATTAACACTACCTCAGTCAGATGGTCAAGCTTAACATTATCAATGATAGGTCATGTTGATAGTATCTACCCTTGATATAAAATGATGAAAATGGTAGTGTACTTCTGTGGTCTTTCTTCCCAAAACATCTAACCCCAGTATAATCCATAAGAAAACGTCAGATAAGTCCTAATTGAGGGATATTCCTCACAACACCTGAGCAGCATACCTGAAAACAGACAAACCTATCAAAAACAAGAAAGTCTGAGACACCGTCACAGCCAAGAGGGGGTCCATGATGATTAAACATGATGTGGTATGCTGGATGAGACGTTGGACTAGTAAAAGGACTTTAGGTAAAAGCTAAGGAAGTCAGAATCAAGTATGAATTCAGTTATGAAGAGTGTACAAATATTGTTTCATTAGCGGTACAAATGTACCATACTGTGTCAGATGATTATGATAGGGGCAGTGGGTGTGGGGTATATAGGAATCCTTACACTATCTTCACAACTATTTTTTTTGCAAATTTACTCTGGAATAAATAGTCTGTTCTTGAAAAAATAAACAAATGGTCTTCTAGATACTAAAGGGGAACATTTCAAATCACATTAGTGCTGTTTAGAAATTTGGGCATTTCCTGGGAAGCAAAAGGAGAGCATTCTTATCTCATTTTTGGTATTATTGAAATGCTCTTAGGTCAAACCTAACCTCACACAAAGATTGTTAAGGGGGTAAACCGCTGATTTTTGCTTTTTGTACTTTCAACTAGAAAATTAAACTGACAATTGCTTTTTTTTTCATGTTTGGAGGCTTAAAACATTTTTTTTTTTTTTTTGGTGTGAGTGGCCCTCCTATTTCTTAGTAGGAATTTGTTGACTTGCATGTTGTTATTATTATTGTCCTTACAAACCAGTTCTTCTCCAGAACAACTGATGTTGCTTTATGCACTGGCTAAAGGTGTAGAGGTAATTGAATGTAGGATTCTTTGCTCTGGAAATCAATCATGACTCAGTTCTGTCCAAGCTAATGGACATACATAGACTCTCACTGTGTACAAGAACTGTGCTGGGCCTCAAGCATCTGCTTTAGTCCAGGTTCTACCCTTAGATATCCACTTGCCCTTATTGGACCCTTATTGGCATGTTAATATTTGACAGTGGCTTGGCCTTTATAAAAACATGCCATTTTGTAGGAGACTCCTTCTCAGCATGGAGTATCTTTGCTCAAAGAAATAGATCTATTATGTTTCAGCCAGAAAGGCAAGCATGAGGAAGGGGCATTTCTGGGCAGGGAGAGCCTTTGTACCACCTGGAAATGTCATCATATGGCTCTCTACCTGCATATTTTGAAGACTGCCTTTGGTGGGCTGCACTGTAGGTCTAAATTGGGGTGGATCCTTGTATTCTTCCCATTTCTCTTTGTTCAGTAGAGAATAAAGAAAATTTGATTAGGAAGAAGGAAACTTCTAGACTATATTCTACCTCTAGCCATCCATGATATTAGGCTTCTTTTTTTTTTTTTTTTTGAGATAGAGTTTCACTCTGTCACCCTGGGTAGAGTGGTGTGGCGTCATAGCTCACAGCAACCTTGAACTCTTGGCCTCAAGTGATCCTCTTGCCTCATTTTTTTCCATTTTTATTAGAGACAAGGTCTGTGTCTTGCTCAGGCTGTTCTCAAACATATGTAGGATTACATACATATAGGCGTGAGCCACCAAGCCTGGCTTCTTTGTTTGTTTGTTTGTTTACTTGGTGGAAAAAAAGAGTTTAGAATAGCTTATCTTGGATCCTTCTGAGCCTTACATTTTTTGATCATATGAGCTGGACCAGGTAGGTCTTTGTTGAGATTGGTGTCTGCATCAGTGTGGAGGCTTTTCTCAATGTTCTTTAGTGGTCTTTTTCTCCTAGTCATTGCCAATGAATTTAAGATAGATTTCCTGAAAGTGACACTGGAGTCCTAAGACATGTTCCTTATTTCACCCCTGTTGTTTTGAAAATGGCCAATTTCAAGCTTGCACATTGGAATAGTTTAAATCCATCCCTATATTGTCATTTGCAAGAGAGGCACTGTGATGAGGAGAAAGGAGCATGGGCTTTGCAGTCATTCTGAGCTGGGAGCGCATTCTCCCTTCATCATTTAACTAGACCTGTGGCCTCAGAAAATGAGTTAGCTCCTCTAAAAGTCTAATTTTCTAGTTAATAAAAATTAGCAACAATGATTCTTATCTCTCAGGGAAAGTATAGAAATTAAATGGGACAACATGTAAAATAACTGTATTGACAGTAGGTGCTCAATAAATATTAGTTTCCTTCCTTCTTTCCTTTTTTCCTACCCTTCTTCCTTCTTTCCTTCCCCCCTTACCTAATAATGGAATTTACAGGCTCAGCCCCCATAGCACAGCGGTTACAGTGCCAGCCACATGCACTAAGGCTGGCGGGTTCGAAGGTGGTCTGGGCCAGCTAAACAAGAAATGACAACTGCAACCAAAAAATAACCAGGCATTGTGGCAGACGCCTATAGTCCCAGCTACTTGGGAGGCTGAGGCAAGAGAATCTCTTATGCCCAAGAGTTTGAGGTTGCTGTGAGCTATGACACCATAGTACTCTCCTGAGGGTGATGTAGTGAGACTCTGTCTCAAAAAAATGGAATTTACATCTTCGTATCTTCATCCGTATGTTTGCAAATGACTTTTGGGCTATTGGGTGATTAATATGTGGCTGGGGGCGGGTTTCTTCCTCCCCTTTCCTACTCCTGGGTAGGGTGCAAACCTGTTTAAATTAACAAGAGATGATAGCATCCTAATGTATAGTAGATGCCCACAATATGGGAGATGTAGTGTGGAAGATCTGATCATTTTCGGCTAATGCACACAGAGAAAAGACCACTCCTTGGTCCCTCCACCTTTTTCTTCTTCATTCCTTGGGAACTGGGATGAAGCCAATAAAGCTTAAGAACTGGCAGACCAGAGTTTCCAACTCAGACCTATTGGGCCAGGTAGGTAATGTAAATGAGAGACATAGCTGGGTGTAAAAAAAGACAGCTGTACTACAAGATCCACAGGAAATGGCATCTTTGAGAGTGTAGTAGGTGGTGATGAGGACTATGGCAGACCCTGTTTAGAAGGAACAGCCACAACTCAGTTTCAGTCAGTAATAATTATTTTCATGCAGGAATATTGGTTCTTTATTTCCAGGTGTTTTCCATTTATACAGAGAACCCAGAAATGCAAACATTAAAAAAAAAAAAAAAGCTTTCATGTTTAATTCTTGGCAATTAAACCAGATTTTAAGATAATACTCCACGGGCCAATCAAAAAAGACTATGCTAGCAGGTTACAGGCCCTGGGCTAAAACAACCATGGAGCTGTGGGGTCACAAGTGAGGAGAAGAACATGATTAGTAGCCTCATGGTCATGGGGAAGGAATGAGAAAGATAAGAAGTGTGACAAATGAATCTCCAACTCCTGATGAAGGCTGAAATGGGTTGGAATGTAGGATCTGAATCTCAAATGAAGGATTGTTTAATGTGTGTGTACTTGGTCAACTTAAGACCATTTGAAGCAAGAATAACCCCACATGGCAATCTACATACTGTGAGGTTTACATTGGTGTTTTAACACCCAAAGTTGTTCCTTTTACTTTTATAAATAATGTATCATAATCTGGTCCTTACCTAAATGTTACATGAAAAAAATACAACACATCTATGTAAATAATAGAGCGAAGAAGGTTTCTAAATGCTTTAATTTTTTTGGCCCAAATATTTCCGCACCTCTCCTACTCTTCTTGTTGGAAAAGGAGAGCTAGTGACACAGTTTAGTTAATGTCATTTTTAAAAATGTGCTTTGGTGTATAGAAGTACTGTTGAACTTCTTAGGTATGTTAATAATAAATTAAGGCTATAGTAGATGCCATGATAGAGAAAATATTAGTCCAAGCCAAAAACAAAAACAAAAAAACCCCATTAGTTTGAAAGTAGATAAGCTAGGCATATCAAAACTGAAAAAAGCTTAGCTCGGATAGCATTCTACTATCTGCAATTGTTTTGATGAGTAATATTCGATTACAAAATGTAATACTTTGCACAGCACCTGACATATAGTAGACATTTAGCAAATGTCTGTTGAATTTTATTACTTTTGAGCACAGTAATTTTCCTCAGTAGTAATTTCTGTAACTCAGATAAAAATAGAAATTTGTAAGAGAATTCAGTTTTGTTTCCTGTAAAAGGATATTGTCTGAAGAAAACAGTAGCAGCAGTAGAGACAGAGGAAAGTGTAGATGTTCTAAGAAGTGATTCCAACTCAATTTATTCAGAGAAGAATACTTTGACCCTGTCTATGTTTATAGTCCCTGCTGACAACATGCTGTTAGTGTCCTTGGCCTCGTTCTATTTCTCTGTTTATTTTGGCTTTACAGAGATTATGTCTCAAGTTATAGGACTCTCCACGGTTTTAGGTGCTGAATGTTTCTGCCCTTCTTTTGCTCATGCCAGGTGGTGTGTTTCTCTTTCAGGGCTGAAGAAAGGGAAGGCTTGGTCTCAGTGACTCCTTGCCTCTCCCCTCACCTGGTCCCGGACAACCCAGAGGCCTTTTTACAAACAAGTACTGATTAGCTGTTATAGGTCCTTGTGCTTTGCAAAGCTCTTTTCTCCCCCTGGGATATATTAGGACATAGCCAGGCTAGAAAGGCCGTGGGAAGCTTTGGAGGTAGGAGGACAGGATCCAGAAAGGATTGCTTTAAGGAGAAGGGAGTTCTCTTTGGTGAAGTCCATAGTCAAAAGGCAGCCCCAGTCTGATTCCAGTTAGGAACCAAGGCTGGACTTTCTTCTTTGGTTCTTGAGCCATTTTAATTTTCCCGGTTGGAGCTAGGATACGTATCATGGAGGAAACCAGCCTCGGGAGTGTCTTCTCACTTCCTTCTCATCTAAACTTCAGCTTCCAGGCATCGCACCGGGGTTTTGAGTGGACTCTTGGGCTCCTCTGGGTTTTTATCAGTTTTCTTGGATTCCTCATTGGGGTTGCTATCCTCAGCCTTCTCCTCCTTCACCACTTTGGTTTCAATCATTTCCTTCTGCTGATTCTTGTTTGTAAAAGGGAAGGCCTTCCCATACCTTTAGGCATAAACACAAAGTTAAAGTGAGAGGCTTCTGTGAGGCACAAATAACAATAAATGCTTTGTCTGCCACAGGGCACAGAGTAGCCTCATTTCAGAGTGAGGCTAACACATGCCTGGTCAAGTACGTTAACACATCCCCCCCTTAATGGATTCATGTAAATTGGACAGTATGTTCACAGGCCAGACTTTAGGCTGACCTCACAACTCTTCCACCAAAAACAAGGAATGAGAAATCAAATGAAGTATATAAATTTCTCCCAGATGTCAATTTTTTTTGATTTCTTGATTTTCAAAGGACAGCCACAGACCCATATCTGAAGGCCAGATGACGTACATATGCTGAAATAGTAGGAAAGATTAGGTAGAAGAGGGACGAGGTGAGAAAAGGGGGAAATTTACAGTATCAAAGGACTGCTATCTCCATTTTATTAAATGCCAATAACAACGTTAGAAAAACAAGATAGGAAGGCAACAAAGATTACCAGACTAGCAGTGTGCCAACAACCTCACCTTTTGACATAGCAATATGCAAGACCAGCTGCCGCGCCAAAGAAGAGGAGAGCCAGCACCAGCAGAGCTGTGGGCACACCTGCAAGAAGCAGAGACGTGACATGGTGGGCCTTCACATGAGCGTTGTGTGTGCTGCTCGGCTAGTGATCCAGGTGATGGAGACAATAGTCAGTGCAACCTTTTGTGATGTTAGACCCCCCTCAGCCTCTTTGCTTCTTGCCTGTGGAACCCTCAGCCTTGCTGCTTTCATGCTTTCCATTTTATAGGTTGCAACATAAACATAAGTCATTTCCTCTCTGTGGCCCTGGGACCCAATCTAGTCAACAAGAGATAACTGGATAAAATCATAGGCATTGAAGGTATTTGGAAAAGAACTTCTGCATAATAACAGATAAGTATTCTGTTTTTAAAATTCTTTAAGTTTATGGCTCGGTGCCTGTAGCTTAACGGCTGGGGCACCAGCCACATACACTGGGGCTGGCGGGTTTGAACCCCGTCTGGGCCTGCCAAACAACAACAACTGCAACAAGAAAATAGCCAGGCATTGTGGCAGGCACCTGTAGATCCAGCTACTTGGGAGGCAGAGGCAAGAGAATTGCTTAAGCCTAAGAGTTTGAGGTTGCTGTGAGCTGTGATGCCAGAGCACTCTACTGAGGGTGACATAGTGAAACTCTGTCTCAAAAAACAAAACAAAAACAAAACTAAAGTCTTTGAGTTTATAACAGAAAAACACTTTTATGCTCACGATTTTTAGTTTTATCACTAAGTTTCTTTATAGCTCTCAAGCTCTATGGCTTTGTGAAAGCTGAGTTTGCATTAAGAGTTTATTTACACCACATAGTTGACAGGTCCTGAACGCACTGTCCGGAGACAGACTAGATTCTGTGAATGGTCTGTAACGTGTAAACACATAGACACACATAATAGACACAGAAAGAATTTACCTCCAAACCCAGCAGCTTCATTCTTGAATGATGCTTTATTTGCAACTGTGAATTCATTTTCCATAGACACGGTGCTAGTTTCTGTATAAACTTCTGTGATGCAAATCAATTTTTTTCTCCGTGAAATAGAAGTATAAGCTGGAGCATGAGTAGTAGTAGCAAGGGCAGGAGTCGTGGAGAGAGGGGATGATGCCAAGTTTGTACTGTCGCTGGCAGAAAATTCTGTCACGGATGTGTCAGTTTGAGTGTTGAATATGGGATCTTTGGTGGTGATGATTTCTGGAGAGCAAGAGTCAATCCGTGTATCTGTCAGGAGAGGAAAAATTGAATAGTAAGAGCCTGCTAACTGTTCTTCCTACCTGTAGTCTTACTCCCCCCCCAACCTCTCACACTGCAGCCGGAATGGTCTCACCAAAATGCAGATGGAGTCATGTCACTTCCTTCCATAGGCTGACTCAGTGACAGGCCACTGCTGCATGTTCCGGCTGACACCACCGGCCCCATCTGCTGTCTTTCTCTGATTGCTCCTGCCATTCTGAAATTCCTTCCAACCCTTGATGGGCTTTCTCTTACCAAAAGTTGTGCTATGATGTTGTCCCCACCTTTGAGACTCTTTACCCTCTCTATAGTTAGCTCACTCTGACTCATCTTTCAGGTCTCAGATTGACCGTCTCTTATTGCAAACAGACTTGTTGACTAGATTGAGTCCCTGGGTATAGCTCTTGGACCCCCTTAATCACAGTCCTCATGACATTGCTCCCTGGACTGTGAGGCTCCTGGAAGCAGGAACCCTGTCTGTCTTGGTCATCATGGTGTGTGCCATGTGCCTGGCACATAGTACATTGCACGATGAATATGTAATGAATAAGAAAGGAAGGAAAAGGGAAAGGAAAGAAGGAGTAGAGAGGAAGACCAAATATACACATGGGATGTCACTTCAGGACAAAGCTCATGGGACCAGAGTTTTCTGTTCTCATTTAAAAAAGGCAAGCAACAGGTGCCTGTGGTCCCAGCTACTTGGGAGGCTGAGGCAGGAGAATCACTTGAGCCCAGCACTGTACCCAGGGCGACAGCTTGAGGTTCTTCTCAAAAAAAAAGGAGGGGGGAACCAGGAATGGGATAGGGTTTACTTTCCAATCTGTTGAATGTGGTAGAGAAGAAACTAATATTTGTTGAGCTTCTTTCTCTGAGTCAACTGTGACACTAGGTGTTTAAATAGATATTTCATTTAACAATTTTATCAAACCCTCATATACACAGGAGGACACTGATGTTCAGAGAAATTGAATGACTTGTCCAAAGTCACACAGCTACTAAATGACAGAGCCACGCAATATATTATAATATGAATTTGCATCTACTATGAATCCCTACTTATTTGTGGCAGTGAGTAGCATAGGCTGGAATGTTAGCTATAAAGAAAAAGTTATTCCTTTAAGGTTATTCATTTTGAAAAACTAAATTAAAGGCCAATCAAGGTAATGGATACTACTGGGAAAACATTTTGGCTACACATGTACTATCTGTTTTTATATTCCTTTTACTTTGAAAAAAACCTCTATTCAAAAAGACATCATCCTTAACCTTCTGTGCCCTAAACTTTTAACTACATTTCCCATTTTTCAGCACATCCTAAGTTCTTCCCTCAGAAAAATAAACATTTTTGAGTATTAGGGGACAAACATACTGAGCTCAATATACTGTGTTGGGAACTGAAATTTCAAAACAGGCATGTTTCCTGCTTCCAGGAGGACAGAAGAAGCATTTTGATAAGGGTAGGTGGAGATCACTGGGGATTCAGAGGACAGGGAATTTGGGCAAGGTATGGAGGATTAATAGGTTCATTCAACAAATATGTCTGGAGTACCAGTGCTGTGCCAGGCACGGTTCTAGGTGCCAGGGACATGGTACCAACAGGACAAAGTCCCAGCCCTTAAAGGGTGTGTGCATGCGATTGGAAGTGCAGGGATAATTTAAAAAGGTAATAAACAAATAAGCCAGAAATGTAAGAGGAAAATAAGTGTTGAAAAGAAAATTAAACAAGATACAGATTACAGTGGTAGAGTGGAGGAATACGTTGGAGAGGTGATAAGAGACAGTCTTTTGGGGAGGCGATACCTGAGGCCTGAATGATGAAAAGTAGCCAGTCAGTCATTGGAGATCTAGGGCAAAATCAAAGTAAAGAGAACAGAAAGTTCAAGGGCAGAGGTTGAATGAACTCAGCCCATTTGATGTATAAGAAGGCCAAATGACTAAAAGAGGGCAGTAGCTCATCTAGACGAGGAAACGGAATATCCCAGTCAATAGGAATAGCGTGATCCAAAAAATCCAGAAGTTTCAAAGTGTAGTCATGTTAGAAAATGGCAAGGAGCATATAGTGTGGCTGGAGTGTTGGGTGTGGGTATGAAAGACTATCAGTGGGAGATGAGACTGGGAACACAGGTTGGAGCCAGACTACCAAGAGGCCTAATTGCCATGTTAAAGAATTCAGAATTTATTCTCTAGGAGAGGGAGTTTTCAACTGGCGTCCACAAATTTCCCAAATTATATTCAAAAGTTCTCATGTATATCCACTTTTATGGATATACGTGCAAAAGTCTTCACGATGTACATCAGATTTTTAATCAAGACGTCATCGAGGCTGTGGAGCAGAGGAGTGAAATAATTATCAATGGAGATGTGTGGAGGATGAAACACAGAGAGGAGAAAGGACAGTCCAGGAGCAAACAAGGAGGTTCCAGCAACTACACAGAATAGGAGAATTCAGGTGTGTCCAGGATCCTAAAACTTAGGTCCCAGGGATCTTCTAGGAAGAACTAATTCTCAGCCCTGGCTGCTTGTTACAATCATCTGACAAGCTTCTAAAAAGTATTGATGGGCTCAGTGCCTGTAGTACAGTGGTTACGATGCTGGCCATAGGGTGGTGGGTTTGAACCCAGCCCGGGCTTGCTGAACATCAATGACAACTGCACCAACAACAAAAAAATAGCTGGGTGTTGTGGTGGGCGCCTGTAGTCTCAGCTACTTGGGAGGCTGAGGCAAGAGAATTGCTTAAGCCCAAGAGTCAGAGGTTGCTGTGAGCAACTAGTCCTCTACCGAGGGGAATGTAGTGAAACTCTGTCTCAAAAAAAAATAAAAAATAAAAAACCATAAAAAGTATTGATGCCAGGGCCCACCCCAGGCTTGTATGTTCTTGATGTGCAGTCATCACTATGGCAGATGCTACACCGAAACAGCATGACTCAGTACAGGTAGCTCAAGGTTTAAATCCTGACCCTGTCTCTTATTGATTGTGACCATAGACAAGGTGCACTAGAAGCATCAATTACTTCTCCTAAAGGTAGAAATGATAACACAGGTGTCATTTTACTCAGAACTAGTGAGATAGTGTCTAGGGCCTCAGATAGTCTCTGGGTGTCATAGATAAGATCTGCAAGAATTTGTTCCCTTGGCCTTCTGTTTATACATGTGGCCTCCCATGGTAGAGGGAGCAACAGTAATCTGGTCCTGTGGTCCCTAATGGTTGAGGGCATAGTGTAGACCACCTGGAAGTGTTAGGGCCTGGTTCTCCTCCCTTTCTAAACTATAAACACAATTCCTCTAGAATGTGCTGAGTGCTCTGATAGATATTAAACACGGAGTATGGTTGGAATCCAAGAGGATAGCTAGGCTTAGGGAGTATGGAAAGACTTCTGAAGAAGATGTAGCTTGAGCTTTATCATAGCTCACTTTAACTTCCAACTCCTGGGCTCAAGTGATCCTCCCACCTCAACCTCTCAAGTAGCTGGGACTATAGGTGCACACCACCACTCCTGGCTAATTTTCAAAGTTTTGGTAGACATTAGACTTTGCTATGTTGCCCAAGCTCGTCTTGAACTCCTGGCCTCAAGTAATCCTCCTTCCTTGGCCTCCCAAGTCCTGGGATTACAAGTGTGAGCCACAGTGGTTGGCCTTGAGATTTGAATAAAGCATAGGTGATGAAGAGGGTGGGCACTGTGGCAGAGGGAACAGTCAAACCAAATGGTGTGTGCAGAGCATTAATAGCACTTTTGGCTGGTTCCCATACTCCACAAAGACTGCAAGAAAAAATAAAGTCAGGATTAGCGGTGGCGTTACTCTGATCTCCAAACCTTACAAAGATAGTACTAAGAAAAACAATTAGGGTAAAGTTTAGGGTCGTGGTTAGGGTAACTCTGATACTCAAATCTCAGTAATTGAAAAGGAAAGTACAAAAGACAGTAATTGAAAAGGAAAGTACAAAAACAAAAAAATCAGTACAAGTGGCCTAGGATTAGCATTGGGATGAAAGTTAGGGAACACTGACTCTCACCAAGATGCTAACACACACACTCACACATATGTTTTGAACTTCTAGGCTTCTAGCCTGATGATAAATCTCCATGGATATGAAACAACTTATGTTCAAAGTTATATACCTCAGCACTCCTTAGACAAGAAAAAGATTAAAAATAGCCCAAAAGTCCATCAGTAGAGGACTGGTTGAATAAACCATGATATAGCCACTCAATGGAGTACCATACAGCTGTTAAAAATGGGAAAAGTCCTGATGAACTGATATCAAGTAATTTCTAGAATTTAAGTGAAAAAAGCCAATGTGTATAGCTGTGTATATGACATGCTAGTTTCTCTAAGAAGTCAAAATGAGATAACACACAGACACACACTCTTTTATATACAAAGCTACACAGAGGGATAGACCAGAAATGAGTGAAAACGATGGGTGGAAACAGAGCAGAGGGGATGGGAGTAAGACTTTTACTTCTTTGAATACTTTTTTTTTTAAAGAAAGTGTATGTATTTTGGACCATTGAACCATGTAAATTTTTTAGCTATTCAAAAAGATAAAAATAGGACAAAAGTCAATCCCTAAAACTGATCACGAACAGAAGCAAATAAACCTTAATTATTTCAAAATGATAATATAACTATACAGAGTCATGTAATTTTTAAAGTCACTTTTGCACATAATTCTCTGACTGTACTTAGAGGGATATCTTTTAAGGACTACAAGATATGCAAATAACTCTTAAATCTCACTCAATAGGTTTATTATTCCTAATTATGTTGGTTTTGCAATTTTTAAACTGTTCTAGAATAAGAACATATATTATTATTTCTTACGAACCAAGACTTTCAATATGAGAGAAGAGATACATGGATAGAACAAAGTAAACTAAGAAAAAAGCTTGCATTGTTAAATTTGAGTTGCAATGTAAACTCATATACATACATGCATATAATTTATTATCTGTCTACTGAAAAGGACCGAAAAGCAATAAAAAACTCCAATAGTAGTGAAACAACTTGCATCCAAATCTTGCTTTCTAATTAACATTTGCCATTAAAAAGAACCAGGGCATTCCTTGGAGAACTAAGTGTCTGATTCCACATCTGGGACAGAAAAAGGATAGAGTGAGTCTGGAACATGTGATTGTGCTAGGTAACAAAGGAATTACCCCAAAGCTAATAAGATAAAGGACACAAAAGTAAACTAGAAGGGCTCCCATGTGCCAGATTTGGGACAATTTAAGCATCAAAAAAAATCAAAAGAATAATAACTGTGAAATTAATTATAACGTCTTGAACCCATTGAGTAAGCAATATGCATGTGCCTATGGTAATGTAAGGGGGAAGAAAAAAATGTATGTGTGTGGGTGTGAGACAGAGAGACTCTTCATCAAAGGTGAATTATAGAAGGAAGGATAGATTTTTAAAAAATCACCATTTTCAGCCCTCACCTAGAATAACTGATTCCAGTAGGGATCATCAACAGCTGGTTAAATGATTAGGTAACAGGTCGTTAGAGGGCAGAATATTTGCATGGTGCGAAACTATCACATTAACGATTACCTACTAATTGCAAAGGGGAAGACGTGTTATAGTTTCATTAGAGAGATTGGGCAGTCACCACCTTAATCAAATAATCAAAGTTACCATGACTAATAGTGAGGCATGTCGACATTAAGTGCCTTTTGTTGTGATGTGATCCAAAGTGCACAATATCATCTACAGAACATTTTTGCCAAAAATATCAAACATGAGACTGGTCAACTTTAAGTATGCAGGAAATACAGCTGATGGGAGTACAAGTTAAATGAAACCATGAGGAAACAGACAAATCCAAGACCTCTGTCCTGGCTCTTTTTTGTTTAGTCCAGAGGGCCGGGTTGTCCGGCATCACACTGACAGCTGGCAGGAAGGCTGGGCAGTTAAAAGGTAAGGTCATTTGATGCATGGGCTGGCGATGAGGTAAGCAGGTGTGTAAATCACCAATTCCCCAGGCAAAGATGGCAGGAAAAGAGGCAAAGAAGGATAGGGAGTGGTGAGAAACATTGAAGAAGCCCTATGTTCCGTCTTGACTTTGCCACTAGCTGACTGAAGGACTCTGAGCAAGCTAAACCCCCATTCTGAAGTATAAGTGTTTCATCTGTGAAGTGAGAGAACTGGACCAACTTATCTCTAAGGACCTTTTCTATGCTGAAGGCTGCTGGTTCAGAAGACGGCTTGGATCCTACATTGTCTTTCTGAGATAGTCTTTGCTAAGGTTGGCTAGTGCACATTTATCTCTCAGATCTTAGAGAATGATTTTGAAATCTATCCTGTGCATGACTGCTTAGCTGCCTAGCCTTGAGGAGGTCAGATATAGGAGTCTGTACCAAGGGTAATGAATCAGACAGAGTTCTCAGACAAACTGGGAACAAGTGAGTATTCAGCAAAAGAAAAACCTGAGAAATTACTTAGCTAAAGCAAGTGTGCTAAGTCAGTCTAGCTTGCTAAGCAAGGTTAACGCGACGATTGCATGACCGTGAGTAAATTAGTTCTACTCTGGGCTTCAATCCCTTCCTTCATAAAATGGAGATTGGGTCTTGTTCCTAAAAATGTAGCATCTGAATTTCCTCTCCTAAAGAGGAGTGTGGGACAGTGAAAAGAGTATGGGTATTAAGACCTTAGTTTAGGCTCAGCGCCTGTGGCTCAAGTGGCTAAGGCACCAGCCAAGTACACCCAAGGTGGTGGGTTCAAATCCAGCCCAGGCCCGCCAAACAACAATGACGGCTGCAACCAAAAAATAGCCAGGTGTTGTGGCAGGCACCTGTGGTCCCAGCTACTCGGGAGGCTGAGGCAGGAGACTCGCTTGAGCCCAGGAGTTGGAGGTTGCTATGAGCTGTGAT